CGTATTCCGAATGCAGTGCCAGGATGGGCTCCATCAGTCGTTGGAAGGTGGTGGCAGTCCTGTGTAGTCCGAACGGCATTTTTATAAATTCATATAGGCCCCAGGGTGTCCTGAAGGCAGTTTTGGGGTGGTCACAGGGCCACACGGGGATCTGCCAGTACCCCTTGGCTAAATCCAATGTTGTTATGAATTTAGCCACTCCAATTCGCTCTACCAACTCTGTCACACGCGGCATGGGGAAGGCATCAAACGCAGCTATTTCATTTAGTTTTCAATAATCCATGCAGAGCCATAAGGTCCCATCTGGCTTTGGGACTGGTACGAGGGAACTTCTCCAGGGGCTTCAAGAGGGCTTGATGACGCTGAGTGCCAACATTTTTTTTGATCGTCTTCCGCACTTCCCCTGCTAAATGGTGCGGTATTGGCCGCCACCGATCTCGTACAGTCGCGCCCGCGGGCGTATAAATGGTGTGGTACATATCCCGTACCCAACTGGGATCATCTGAGAATACCTTCTTAAACTCCTCCAGGAGGATTCGTGTCTTGGCCTTTTGTGTCGCTGTTAGTTCACTGCCTACATGAATTTCTTTCAATGGCTCTAGGACTCTAGGGCCTATGTTGATCCCCTGGGGGCTGAGGTCATCCTTGGTTTCCACTGCAAATGCGGCCCAACCTTCAGGCTGCTGCCATTCCTGTAGTAGATTAACATGCTAGATCTGTCATGTTCGTCGGGGTCCTGGACGGTAGACTTTGTAATCGACTGGTTCTGCCTTCCGAACGATCTTGAATGGTCCCTGCCATTGGGTCAGTAGCTTGCTGGGTGAGGTCGGCAACAAGACCAATACTCTCTGACTTGGCCGGAACTCCTGTTCTTTAGCGTGTGAGTCATATCTCTCTTTCTGGCACTGCTGGGCCTGCCACAAGCTACTCGAGGCCAGTTCCCTCGCGTTTTTGATGCGGCGTTGAAAGCCTGTTGGTACATGGACGGGTTAAGGATGTCAGTGGGGCGGTGTTCCTAGTCCTCCCGGAGGATCTGCAGTAGGCCCCGTGGTCAGTGGCCCAACACCAACTCGAAAGGGGAATGCCCCAAAGATTCAGAAGGGGAGTCTCGGAGGATGAACAAGGCTAGTGGGAGCATCGCCACTGGTCACCCTGTATACATCGTCACAGTACTTTCTTGAGAGACCCGTTCAATCGTTCAACCAATCCATTGGTCTGCGGATGGTAAACTGATGTATGAAGCTGTTTGATTCATAGAGTTTGACACACGCCCTGCAGTACCCTGGACATAAAATTCCGCCTTGATCTGTTAGGATCTCGTGTGGAATACCCATATGTGCTATCCATTTTACCAGCTCCTCCGCAGTCAGAGGAGCTGTCACGGATCTCAAGGGCATGGTGTCAAGGTACCGAGTTGCATAATCGATGAACAGAAGTATATACTGGTACCAGCTCTGCTGCAAGGCAGCAGCCCAACAACATCCATGGCAATACATGAAAAAGGTAGGTCGATTACCGGCATTGGCCTTAGTGGGGCCCGAGGTGGCCGATCCTCCCTTGCCTTTTGGCATACGGGACACTCCGTGCATCGCCGCGCCTGAAGAACCACCGAGATATTTTGTCAGTGGTCCGATCCCTTCCCATATGGCCCCCGAGAGGGCTGGCGTGCGCCAGTTGCCATACTGCCTTCCGGAAGCAAGAGGGCAACACCACCAGTTGTACTCTATCTTCCTTGCCCTCCCCGCCAGACTGAACCTGGTACAAGAGGTGTTGCCTTACCTCAAAGTGGGTCTGAGGCACCTCACAGGGTCTGAGGCCACAGCTGGTTGCCGGAGGTCATCTTTGGCCCGTGTCCAAAGCCCCTGTAGCTCGGGATCCTCTTCCTGGGCTTGCCGAAACTGCTGGTGGCTGGCAATATCCTGCAGGTTGGTAATGGTGTCCTCGTCTCTTTCACCAGGCCCTTCTTGTTTGGTTGAGTCTCCAAGCCACCCTTCCTTTGTTTTTAACATCCTGCGAGCTGCCTCCATGTCTCATACTCGATTCAAGACGTCATATATTGGGGCCCAGTCCCGCCCCAGGAGCATGTCGCACGCTAAGCGGGGTGCGAGACCTACCAATAGCTCCCTCTGATGCTCCATCACTCACGGGTTTGCCCATACTCGGCAAATCTTCTGCATCTCCCCAAGAAGGCAAGATATCCTCATGGGTTTGGCCCAACAGCCGGGGCGATCTTTCACGAACGCAGCCCTGACCAGTGACTGGGTGCAGCCTGAATCTAACAAGGCCCACACTGGGCGGCCCTCAACCCAGGCCCTCACTACTGGGCACCCCCATACTGGGCTCTCTCCCCCTGCTTCAAAACTATAATCCATCGGCTCCCCCGGAGCTGTCTTAGGTGTTTCGACCACCCACTGTGGGGTGTTGTGCAGTCGCCACCTCTCAGAAGCGCGGGTTGAACATTCCCACGCAAAATGCCCCATTCAGCCACAATCATAACACACCATGTCCCCTCCTGGGGGCCTGTTGCCGGGTTTCCGTCGTTCTGGTTCTCTTGGCCGGTGGTGTCATCCCGCATTTTTCCCACAGATAGTATGCTTCTGAGGCCACAAAAGCTTCAGCCAACTCCAGTGCCTCCTCACATGACCCCAGTGAATGCTGTCGCACCCAGCGTTGTGTCCTCTCTTCTAAATCATTCAAGAATTGCTCCAATATGACTTTGTCCATGAGCATCGCTAGGATACACATTGCCAAATTAACCCACTTCCTGAAGAGATCTCGTAGTTGCTGTAACAACAGCCAGGGCTGCCTCTCTTCCGCCCCTTTCTTAGCTCGAAAGAGCCACTGATAATGTTCGGGGCTGATCTGTCTAGCTGGTAGAGGCTCGCGGTTTTAACGGCTTCATAGTCCAGGGCTTCCTTCCGAGACAAGGCCCTGTAGGCCGCCTGGGCTTTGCCCACTACCAGCACCTCCAGCTGATTGGCCCAGTATCGCTCATCTAGGCCAGTGATGATGTAGGGTGTTCTCTGGGCACACGTTTTTGGCCGAGTATAAAAAGCTATATATAAACTTTCTTTCAGACAGACAGGAAACTGCTCCTAAAGCTACTTCACATACCTTCAAAAAGCAGATTTCTCTTTGTTATTAACCCTTCTGGTTCTGGCCTTCACAGGGGACCTTCAGCTGGGGGAGCCAGGAGATCCCTGCTCTCTAGGTGCCTCTTCCACAGGTGCCTGAGAACATAAAAAAATAGGCATACAACTGGGGCTCCCAAGTGCATGCCTGCTTTTTAAATGTCTGGGATGCCCTGAACCAACACTGGGGAGCCTTTTCCTGGTGGTAGGCTCACAGTGCCCTGGACCTTTAAAGAGTGGATTTTTATCTGGGAGCCCTGGCTGAACACCTGTCTTTTTTTTTTATTTCCCTGAGCACCATAAACCTGACATCAGGGAGAGGCTCCTTGTGGGGGAGCTCCCTTTGGAACACATGAAGAGCTAGATAATGTTAAACACATTGAAAAACAGTGTGCAAGCAATCTCAAATTTGTCACCCAAAATTAGGGGATGTGTTTGTCCTTCATCTCTTTCTGCCTGAGTTCCTCACCCATAAATTAGGGATAATTATAGCCCTTCATGTCACAGCTGTGCTTTGAAGAATTGATGGTGCACTCTGAAGCCCATCATTTGAGAGCCTTTGAGGAAGTCATTAATTACACATTCAGGGCAGGGTTGGAAGAGTATGCAGTCTATAAGGCATAGCCACATTGAATAATGTGGACAAAGCAAAGAATTTAATAATTTATCATGAACTTCAGATTATAATACATCCTATGCAATGAATGAGGTAGGAGTCCTGTGACAAAAATACTACAAGATTAAAGATTATATCAACAGGCATATGCACTAGATTAATAAAAGTTGGGCAATCAACATAATTTTGCCATTTCTTACCTTCTGAGTAGGAAGCACAGCTTGACTTTACAGTCGCAAAATTGAAAAGTATACATTGTATTAACCTGTAGAACAAGAGATTAAACTAGCACAGATCCATGAATCAGGAGGATACTGGCATTCAGCTACATGGTTATTAAGCCCTTGGACGTGATAAATTTTCTAATTGTCTACTTTCATAGAATAATTATTAATCATCATAGAGAAAATATATTTAAATATGTTTTTGTAATTAGATTTTTTTTTAAACTGGAAAAAGAAAGTTTAAAAGTATACACATTATTTAACAGCAGAGATGAGTTAGAACATACAGACTGTCATAATGGATCAAGTTTATGGGCTACTAGTTTGATATCCTAGCAGAGGACAAAGTAGAATCCTGTAAGCTCTCTTGCATGTACATCTGCTATACCATCCCATTCTCAGGCCCCACACAGTGCTTCCACTGAAACTCTCAAACTCTACAGATTTCCAGAGGTAGATCTGGGGGAGAGATTTCTGTAGAGGCCATAGATTTCTGTGACAAAATCTGGATAGAAAATATCTTGGAACAGTGTTATCTATTCTTGGGTAAGCAAGGGCCAAGGAAACAAGAAACATCAGGATGTTGAACAAAGTAGCATGATATAGTGCTTTAAAACAGTAGGGGTACCAGTGAGAGAGAGTAAAAAGGGGCTGGGAAGCTGCAGGGCTACCCCCATTTCTGTCTGGAAGTCTTGCCTCCAGTCTTACCATGGGTCCCTGGGACCACCCAGGCTGGAGGAGCACATGACTTTAAAAATCTAGTATGTGAATAGTTCCTATTAAATAGGACAGTTTAAAGGAAAACTCAGAATGAATCTTTCACTGATTAATTTCCCTAGGTTTTTACCATGGATGGGGACAGTCTGACCCACTAGTGATCCTAGATGGCTGATGGGTGCATTCAACCATCAGAAATAGAAATAAGAAAAGGTTTCAAACACTGATTATTAACTTATAACACACTTGCAGGCCTCCTAAAATGTTTCTTGGTTGAGGATATTTTCTTAAAATAATAATGGTTTCTTGCAGCTCTGGAGACATTCATATACAGCTACATATCACATTTATGACATGACTGCAAGGTTAGTAACTTTATGTAAAATTGATCTAATTTAATGTAAATGCTTTGCAATAAAATGGCACTGTAATGATTGTCTGTCTTAACTATTTTTGTTTTGTTTTATTTTTATTTTCTAGTATCTTAGTGACTGAGAATCCACTTCATAATGATACCCAGTATATATCCTGGTCACCTGTTGGCCACAAATTGGTTAGTAAGTAGAAATGCAGTACATCAGCGGTACAATTCCTGTACAACAGTACAGATGTTAGTCAGTGGCCTGTATTTAGTACGTATGCACACACACGCACACACCCAGGCATAGACGCACACAGTTCTGTCAGAAGAAGTCAGATAGTTTTATGCTGTTAATGTTGGAATTGTCATCTCCTTGTGATTTTGTTGTTGTTATTTCTACATTTTTGTTCATGACCACAGGCCAGGTAATTTACTATGATATTTTCTAGTACTAATGAATTTTAATAAGTGTTTTCACTTGTTAAGTGGCCTCAGTATACTTAATAGAATGCAATTTTCAAGAAAATTTCTGCAATCTGAATGACAAAAAAATAGGATGCTGGAAAGCACAATGGAAGTAAATATAGCTTGTTCTATCACTGCATTCCAGCCATAATTTATTTAATAACTATGAGAATTTTTTGTAGGCGTATGTTTGGAATAATAACATTTATGTGAGAGAATTCCCAAGAGAAAAGAGTATACCAATCACCAAAAATGGAGAAGAAAATAAAATTTTTAATGGAATTCCTGATTGGGTTTATGAAGGTAACTACATACAACTATTTTATTTTATATGGTAACATGCAAACTCCTTGTTATAATTTAAAAAAAAAGTTAGAAATGTGGAGAAAAGAAAGAGAAGTTTAGTTCTTATTATATATAACGTTTTTATTCCACAGAAATAAGGAGAGTAGGTATAACTAGTCCCATTTTAGAGATGGAGAAGCAGGAATATTGCAAGCTGAAATGTTTTGCTTAATATCACACAACAGGTCAGTGGTGGACCGAGGCATGGGATCTTGTCTTCTGACTCCTAGGGCACTATGCTGTGTACTAAACCAGTGGTTTTTAACTTTTTTGGATCAGTGTACCCCTAGCGGCCAGACACAAGAACAATGTACCCCTGGCGGCTGGATGGGGACCTGGGAGTGGCGGCACGTAGCCAGACACGTGGGGGGGAGAGGGGAGGGCAGGCTGCGCAGCCGAATGCGGAGCGGCAGCAGCCGCCATGTGCAACCTTTCCCCACCCCCCACTTCCAGCAGGGCAGGTGGTGCCTGCATGGCAGCATGGGATGGTGTGTGGCGGTGCTCCATCCTGGCCTGCCTGCATGTACTCCCTAGGGCCTTCTCAAGTACCCCTGGTTGACAACCCCTGTACTAAACCAAAGTGCCATTCTAACTAGAAGCTTACCATACATTAAAATGTAGGCATTATTTAATGCCTTGATAAATGGCAGCATCCTAAACATATAAAGAATAAATAAACAAATAAAGAGTCCAGAACAGGTCTTTGATTAAGCCAAAATCAGGGATTGTTTTCTTAAAAGTCTATCATTTTTAGGCATTAATTTATTTAATGTCATTTTAGAGCCCAGGTAAGTAGTCTACAGTTCAGCAGCTGAACTTCAGCACAGCTCTGTAAAAACTAATGAGAATGATATTTCAGATACAGAAGCCAACTCAGCAACTATTGCTTCAAAAGAATGCATTTGCATCTCTTTCAGAGGAAATGTTTGGCACCCACTCTGCTCTGTGGTGGTCTCCAAATGGCAATTTTATAGCATATGCAGAGTTTAATGATACAGAAGTTCCTGTTATTGAGTATTCCTTTTATTCAGAAGACACGCTGCAGTATCCAAAGACGATTAGAATCCCATATCCCAAGGTCTGTGTTATTTATTAAATATGGTTGTTCAGCAGTTTCAGTAAGAGAATAGTCTCAGTTTTAATCACTTTCTGCTAACGAAAATATTGTCTGTCTCTCCTCAACAGCTTGCTGTGATTACTCTTACTAAAGTCAACAGCATCTGGCAAAGTTAAAGTATTTTATTTTCTCCTGGAAAGAAAGTGTGATTTTTTTTTTTTTTTTTTTTAAGGTTTTGTTGTTTCTCTAGAAAGTTTGATAAGTAGACATGGTGATTGTGAGAAATATTCTTGTTAAGGGTGCACTAATAAAGATTTTTTTGGCTGATACCAAGAGCCAATTATTAACCAACCATATTGGGAAGGGGCGTGGAGAAGGGAAGGGGTCTGGGGGGTGCAGATTGAGGCCCCCACAGTGAGGAAGGGAGTGGGGCAGGGGCTGGGGGCACTGTCCAGCTACGGCAGTAAATGGGACTTAGGGCTGGGGCGAGTAGTTGGACAGAGTTGAGGGCGGCTCGTCCAGGGACTCAGCATCCTGGCACTCAAAAATAGTTCAGTGGTGCTTGAACTAAAGCTTATCAAATGAGCTTTAGTTGAAGCACCGCCATCACCATTTTTAAGTGCAGAGATGCTTTTAACTGGAGCGGAGCC